TTTTTTTGGTTTTTCTCCGGTACCGGGAACCGAACTCACGACCTTGCGCTTGCCAGGCAGGCGCTTTTGCCGCTGAGCTAAATCCCCAGCCCCTGTTACAGTATTCTTAAAAGTATAATTTCCTTGTCTTTTTATTTTTTTCTATTTTTCTTTTTTCCGTCCTACCTCACAGGCACCCCTGTCGCACCCCCCAGGCTTATGTACACAGTGGCCATGGTGGCAGGGATGAAGAACATGTCAGTAACATGGATTTTTCACGGAGGCTGACCTGACATGTACTGCTGAGTTCCCATATGGGACAATTCCCTGAAGTGACCAGTCAGTGAACTAGTGGCAAGTTAATGACACTGAACTGCGTTCATCAAGGGGCAGAATCTTGTCCTTGCCAGAATAGATTTTTTTTTGAGACAAGGTCTTGCTACGTAGCTTGGGCTGACCTTTAACTCACTGCATATTCCAGGCTGGCCTTGAACTTGTGGTGATCCTCCTACCTCAGCTTCCCTAGTTGTATGACTACAGGTGTGCACCACCATGCCAAGCTTCAAGTAGGCATTTATTCTGGCTATAGATTTGCCTTTTTTGTATGCAGCGCTCTTGCCAGAATGACCAGAATGACTTAGAGAATGTCTTATTCACAGTTATGGTATTGTACTCAGCATTGCTTCTGACCAATAGATTGTTCACAGCAAAAATGTGGCAAAGGGCCTGTGCTCCTGAAATTCACTGATCTTACCGTGTTCCCCACCATCCTGAAGCACGTGGTTTGATAGAAGAGTGAAATGGTCTTCTGAAGACACATACATAGCGAGATAAGTGGTAAAACCTTGCAGGCCAGAGTTCTCCGGAAGGATGAATATGCTCTGAATCAACACGTGTGGAACTAATATACGATTCTGTTTATCCTCTTGCCAGGGCTTGTGGGTCTGGTGTGAAATGGAAGTACCAGCACTCACTAGGGTAGTGACTCACTAGCAAAAGTTTTGCCTCTTGTTCTCACAAGCTTGTGCTCTGTCAGTGTAGGGGTCTTAGTTCCAGAGGGATGAATGGTCCACTAGGAGATACAACGATCTTCATTGAACTGGACATTTAGACTTCTGCCTGGCCATTTTGGACTTCTTCTGAGTCAACAGGCAGATAAAGGAGTCCCTGTGCTGGCCAGTGTCACTAATGGGTCAGGCCTCTGGACTCAGACTAGAACTGTACCATTGGCCATGCTGGGTCTCCAGCTGGATGACTGCAGGTCTTGGGACTTCTCAGCCTCCATAATTGCATGAGTCAATTCCTTACAATAAATATTTTCTATTTCTCTGGAAAACCCACACTAAACAGTATAAAAAATATAATATAAAATATATATAATATAAAAATCTCCTTGATTATTTTCAATGACCAGATTGTATTTCAAATGATGAGTCTGTTATAATTCCATCATTCTTACTAATACAGTCTTTTTCTGGTTTTTCCTAATTCCTCAAATGTAGCAATAAATATGTGTATGTGTACACGCGCTACTCTATGGGAAGACCTTCAGAATGACAAATATGTGTGTGTTCTGTATGTGTTTCGTTTTACGTCGTGTGCCTTGAATGACTTTCTCAAAGGAAGGCTCATGTATACAATCTTCACAATATCGTGCACCTGTGGTTCCTTAATACATACTTTAAAACATTAGTTTGCAGAATAGTCAGTCAATTCGTGTAACATAACTTATCTTTTTAAGCGGGTCTGTTATACTGCATAAGCAAAGAGAGTAGCGCTTTCTACAGGCAAAGGACATTGGCTAATTCTTTACAGGAAGCCAAATGAGTCTCCTTGGGCAGCTTCTTGTAACAAACGCCCACTAGAATTATGATTTTGGAATTATTTCCATTGCAAATCCCCTCTTTCCACACCCCTTTAAAAGGCAGCTGTGATAATTTGGCTTCTAACCAAGGCCTGCTGTACCAACAATTCTCTAAATTTTATTTATATTTCATATGCAGTATGTTCAAACTCTCACTTTCCCAGGTGGCAGATGCTGGTTTGGACACACTCCAGTAGAAAGTGCTTTCCTATAAAATAATAAAAGTAAAATGCTGAACAAACCACCTCTTCAAATCAGACTTGCAGCTAGTCTACCAAAGCTAAGAACTCTAGTAATGACTTCACTGTTTCCCCAAATTTACTGTCCTCCAAATTCCTTCTTTACTTACGTCCACTCCAAATACTTTGTCCTTAGCTGGGCATGGTGGCATACACCTACAATTGGGAAACTGAGGCAGGAGAATTCTGAGCCCAGCTTCAGACACATAGCAAGTTTAAGGCCAGCCAGGGCTACATAGCAAGACCTTGTTTCAAAAACAGGACAAAAATAATTTGTTCTTTGGCTTCTATAGGATGTAAATGCTGACAGTTCCTTTTACATTTCTTTAGTGTTCATTTGAAAGTGTCAGAGTGTAGGAATTTGTCCATCTAACATGCTTTCAATCACACTTAACCCAAACTCACTCAGGGGTATTTCAAATGTGATCTGGATGAGACGATAACACATTTTAACCCATTTAAAGGATTTTTTTTTTTTTTTTGGTATTTTTGAGACAAGGTCTCGCTACGCAGTTCAGGCTGGCCTTGAACTCACTTTGTAGCCCAGGTTGGCCTCAAACTCACAACGATCCTCCTGCCTCCGCCTCCTGAGTGCTGGGATTACAGGCGTGCGCCACCACGCCCGGTCATTTAAAGGATTTAAAAGGCTACCAAAAAACTTAATAGGCTTAAAATGTTCTCACTAAAAAGTAGTGCTTCTGTGTGTTTTATATATTGTCTGTGCAGTGGCCTGAATTTTAAACATGACACTCCTAAGAATGAACATGAAATTTGCCATAGGATTCTTGCCCAGTTAAAGATAGCCCACAATCTAATGATCCTATGTATGAAGTGAATATTATTAGGCAGTTACTAAAAAAAAATGTACATATTTGTACATTTTGCCGGTCCACCTTTGGCCTCCACCTCCAGCTCTTTCACCTGTTTGTGCAATAATATGTCACTGAGCTGAAAACCTACACAATTTCTTCTTCTACTCTAGACAAGTCGACAACTTTAGGGCACGGAAATTTATATTTGTGCCAAAAGCTTGAAGTTTGCAGTTATGTTCTGAGGCTTAACGGATCTGTGTGTGCACGTGTGCGCCTGCTTCTGTGTATCCCGGGTGAATAACAAAAGTTTGCCACTTGGTCCTGCGAGCATCTCTCTACTCACCTTGGGCTCTCTGGTAGATCGCTTTCTTTTTCATTTATTCCATTAGATGGCAGTAGATGCCCAAAAATAACTTCCAAAGCAGTGGCACTGGGTTAAGAGGGTGTGTGTGTGTGTGTGTGTGTGTGTGTGTGTGTGTGTGTTTTCTGTCACTGGGTTGTGGGTAGTTCAGCTGACAGACACACAGAGGTCTTTGGGGAGGGTTGAGACAGAGTCTTGCTTTGTAGTTCAGGCTGTCCTTGAACTCAGTATGCAGGCCAGGCTGGCCTCAAATTCAAGGCAATCCTCCTGCCTCAGCCTCCCGAGTCCTTAGATTGCAGACATGCGCCACCACTCCCGGCTCAACACAGAGGTCTTCTTTGGTAGGTGGGCATGGTATACTTTTGTTGAGTGTGCGGATAGAGGTGGTGGGGACACAGGAGGACTCGCTGCAGACCACACCTATTTAATAGAGGTTATCCCTATGCATCTGGAGCATCTTGCCAGCTGGTCAAAAAAAAAAAAAAAAGTCTTAGAAAATTTCTCAGCTATCGATACATTTGATGTAGTGTACGGAGCCAAGTCAAGGAAGTAGTCAGCATTGCTTTACAGATGCATCAAGCATCTGCTGCATGTGTTTGTGGCGACGAGAGACAGCCATTCACTGATGGGGAATGGTTGCGATGACCCGTGCAGCGAAACCCCACGCAGTGCCCCACAAGTACATATGAATCCCCTCTTGTGTGTCTATCACCCCATCAGAAGCTGTACAAGAAGGAGAAGAGGTAGTGTCCTCCAGCCTGCTCGTAACAGAAAGCGCAGAACTGCACACAGAGCAATAACTGCTGGCCGAGACCTTGCCTGATAACTCGATTACTGTGTGGCGAAGACACTACATCCTGTGAACTTTGAAAGAGGTCAGAGCTAGCCCCCACCGCCCAAACCAGTGGGGTCCCAAGTGCCCTAAAGGTCAGGCTTTGTGTGAGGAGAGAGTGGAAGGGAAGGAACAAGAAGGGGTACAAGATTCGGGGGGCGGGGTGGGAGCTTTGGGGAAGTCTGGAGAGAATTTAGGAGAGGAGAGGAGTGAGAAAATGGGGGCAGTAGTGTAGCGCGGCACGGTCCGCACCCTCGGAAAGCGCCTGCTCGGCGGACCTTTGTGCCTACGCTCAGACCCCGGCATCTGGTCACGGCGGGGGTTTCGGGTCGGGTTTCTCACTTCGCGCACGCACCGTCGGCCTGCGCCAGGCGCACACGGCGCGCCCTCGCCTGGGCGGACCCTGCGGGGGCCGGGGAGCCACGGGGGG